ACGATTATTCTCCTTTCAATTAAGACCAGGGCTGACATACAGACAGACAGATATAACGCAGAACTTCGTACATAAGTACATCAGTTCAGGTTGACATACGACATAAGCACAGAGACGCAACTGTCAGTTCAAATCCAAGAGTAATAGAGATGGTAGACGTATCAGTAGTAATGAAGAAGATTAGGGAGCGAAGATATAATTCGAAAAGTGTAATTCAGTTAGATAAATTTAGAAGGAGAAAGATAGAGATGATGAGGAATTCAGAAGGTTAGAATTAAAAAGCACACAAAGAGTGGATGCACCTGAGCCATTGCAAACGATTTTGATCCATGTCATTCAAGGTCTCTGTCCATTGATTAAGACCAGAGCTGGTAAGTTCATAGTAAATATCAGTGAGAAAATTCAAATAACTAATGCAAATGAAGTGAAACTCTCTCTCTGTCTCAGAAGTCAATGACTGTCTGATGTCAATTATTAAATATGGATAACATGATGAGGTTTGAAGTGTACGATGCTGGGTTCGAGTCTCACAGTGAACATCGACTCTGAGATACAGGTACATCCAGCAACAGTCAAGTTTCAAATAGGACGAAATTGTGATGCCGGTCACTAGGTATGCTTGAAACTATCACGAGTTCACCTTAGTCGATAAACGAGAACGAAACAATGAATCAGCGTCCAGGTTGGCTACTCTGATCCGTTGACCCAAAAGCACTAACCAGAAGTGTTGATATAGCGTACAAAGTGTATTTTACAAACACCCAACAAGCACAATGAATTCAAACACACAAATCGCGTTTATTTACACATCATAGATACGTCCTTTGGAGAGTCACAAAAATAGCACACTAAAATAACACAGTAACTAGTCACAGCTTAGGCTTTTCCTGGTGGGAAATGTGACCTCAAGGTCAATTGATCAGCCCATGAATAAAATCCAAAATAAAGACATTTCACAAGCGAGTTCTGGGGGTCTAACATCCCCGACAGAAACATGCATCCTAGATTCCACTCTTCGAATAATACTTGTAACCATAAAGGCAATATCGAGGCGATCCACATTGGTAGGCACACATGCCAAAGGGACTGATCATATTCAATCCTAAATTATTAGCAGGAAGATTGAAACAGGTAATATCAATGAACAGTTAATATTGTATACTCTAAGGTTGAACAAACTATATCCATACACACTAAATAAAAATCAATAATAATTTTAAGAGATAAATCTTTGAGCTGCGATACAATATTATCATAATGTTACACCTGCACGTAAACACGTCATTTTGATATGCTTTACCTATTACGAGTTTACCTAGTCGGAAAACGAGAGCGAGGATCGAGGACCTGGCAACATGACATGCTATTCTAATCCAAGTGTCCCAACCACTTGATATGAAGTAGAACCTGTATTCTACAAGAATCCATAAAGTACGAAGTCCGAATCCAGAAGAGAATCAGGATCACGGACTAGGGATGCGGGGCCGAGCCCTGGTCCTGGTCATAAAACGTTACAGATAATGTGTATTTATGCATTTTGGTCGAATAGGAAACAGCATCGAAGTCTGTGACATTGACAGTTAAGACGACCAATAGGAAGCAACATTTGAAGTGACATTGATAGTCAGGATAACCAATAAGAAACAACATTGGAGCACGTGACATTGATATCTAGGATGACCATAAAAATGACCAGTAGGAATTAACCAATAGGAATTGACCAATAATTCTCTTAGGATATTGGATGCATATCCTAACACATAATGAATCTAGGAAATTTTAGTGCGTACTATTTTATTTTTATCACAACAATATAAGTTATCTTTCTATATATATTTTTATTAATTAATCTAGCAACAACAAAATTTCCTGTGTAAATTTTTTTGGCAATATTGTATAAAATCTTTCAATTAAAAAAATTTTGGTACGAAATCAAATTCTAAACCACATCTATCATCAATTTTCATTTGAATTGAACATATAGTTTGGCTGTTCTGTTTTATAGATTTTAAATCATTATATTGTATTAATTTATCAATAAAACAAGAAAAAATTTACATTTTACGTAAGTGAAATAACATTGAAAAGTTACTACTAATATACCCATCATACGTTATGAGAATTATGAGTATCATCATGCCACACATGTGTTCATAATTCAATAGATATAAACTATTTCGTTCATCTTATGGCGTTCATCACTTATGGCGTAGGCGAGATATCCATTTGCTGACTAAAGGACGAGTGTACTGCGCAGTAGTTCGCTCTGTCTTACTTTATGGCTGTGAAACATGGCCAGTGAGAGTTGAAGATATTCGTCAGTTATTGGTTTTCGATCATAGGTGTCTTCGAAGCATTTCTCCTATATCCTGGGACACCCGAGTGAGCAGCGCTGTTATTAGGAAACTGGTGCTAAGTAAGAATGGCAGATCAATAGATGAAGTAATGAAACTTCATCAGTTGAGGTGGTTGGGACATGTGTTGCGTATGCCCAACCACCGACTGCCTCGAAGAGCTATGTTTTGTAGTGTGGGAATAGGTCGGAAGAAAGCTAGGGGCGGCCAAACCAAAACATGGCAGAAATCCATGAAGTCATTGACGAGTGGACTTAGCCATGTCGGTAATTGTCGATTACCTGGTTAGGGTCCGCGAGATGATAATAATCGATGGTTAGAGACCTTGAATGACATGGCTCAAAATCGTTCTCTCAAATCCTAATCTTCTGGATTCTTCAACACCTCTAGTTTTGTCTTTCTAACCTTATCTCACTGAATTATACTTCTTGAATAATATCTTCTAATCCTAACCTCTCTGATTACTTCTAATACCTTTACTACCTCTTCTACTATGGGATTTGGATTGACAATTATATCTCTGTGCTGGTGTGGTATGGCAACATGATTTGATGTACTTACGTACGAAGTTCTTCGTTGCATCTGACTGACTGACTGACTCATCTTGAAACGATCAGCTTAAAACATTTCTACAACTAATTAATTGTAACTGTTGTGATAGAGCTGATAAGTATTATGTAGTAGAAAGGCCTTAGAGTGTTGTCCTGAAGTTACATCTGAATATAGAAGTGTCGGAAAAGGATTTATGGAGTGATTTGAATGTTTTGTAGGAATAGAAAACATACATGAAAGAAGCCAGGCCCATGAATGGATGTTTTATGATACGGTGTATACTTTTTGGTTAGTAGATTTTGTCTTCTGTGTAACTATCTCAATGTGGCAACTCCACAAATACTAAGTAATGAAAACCAGGAAATTGAGATAGTGAGTTCCGATTGCAGAATTTATAGAAAGGTTGAATGACACCAGCTTGCTAACCATCTTGCTTCTCCTGGGCTTTTAGATTGTGTCTCTGTATGCTGACATATGTCACACAGTTCAGAGGCGTAGGCATCCTTATCAAAGTTGTTGTCCACGTTATTAAGTTCTTCTGAATTTATTCTAATTGCATATACACTTAAGAACTGAACTGCTTCTATTTAATTTATGCCGCTTCAAAATCCTCTGTGCTGACTCAATAAAACTGGTATTACAGCTAGTTGAAATGCGGTTGACAATTTGTGCTACTCCGGTAATAATTGTATCTGTGGAAAGATGGATCCAAGACTTCTATTGTTGTGGAATACATTTGGAAATTACTGTGCATATTGGCTTAAGTGAATATTATTTACCTGTCAACGTCCTTGATATGAAGAGGTTCCGTCCTTCCTTTCCAAATGCTTTCATATGTCCACGCGTGCATTTCCATTACCAGCGACATCCTTACTCACTGTCTTCTCGTCACACAGGTATTGTTTACAAAACTGATGAGAAAACCAAATGGAGGCTTAAAAACTTTGATTCCAAACCAATAATCCACATTGACTCTAGGATCTTGAGGAAACAAATGGAGTTTGAACATATTGTCCATCAATGGACTGCATCATTTAACGATACTCCACTACCATATGGATTAGACTTGTAGGTTAAATGCTCAGTTTTAGGAAGATATGTTACAGGCTAACCACTGATAAGATTTACATTTAGCCACTTTATGAGTAAAAAAGGATACTTATTCATCGAGATGCACTATTTATAAGAATTTTGAAGATTTGTAACGAAGACTAACTAATAAATATATTTATTATACATTCAATTTAATACAAATGGAATACTTATGATTAATTTTTTTATCTATTTAAAGTATAATTCTCAATTCTTGATATTCTGAGAAGTTGATAAGACTACAACTTATTATTGAAATCTTAGACTGATGAATATTATTTGACCACCATTGGAAACCTAAAAGAACTAAACGCCCGTTTCATCTTAGCAACAGACTCTACAGCAGTGTACATCCATGACCACGACCACCTCTCTCAGGAAGCAAACTCAGGACTTTTGGTTTCGCGCATAAACGCTTAACCTGTAGACTATTGAGCCGTTACCCAACGGTATTAATGTCTTACTTAGATCAATCCCCGATCAGTCTATAATTTCAGTGATAATCAACAATCTTCATAATTTGAAATCATCAATCAATCATTGTTAGACCATTACCATTAGAAACCTGAAAGCACTGAAAGACGGCCGTTTCGTCCTGGTATGGGACTAATCAGCAGTGCTCATCCACAACTCCTGCACCTCGCAAGATCCAAACCCGGGACCTTCGGTATTGTACGCGAACGCCTAACCATCGGACTACTGGGCCGGCATCCAACGGTGTTAATGTCTAACTCTGATTGGTCTACGGATTTTGTGCGACCTCACCCATTATTTGTCTTTGGTAGTTACTGCCTACACCCGACAGGATTGAACTCCACTGGTCACGTCTTCTCAACTAGAACTCCGAGAATTTCCTCACGAAGCTAGTCATCACTAGTGAGCACATTGTTCGATATTTTTTGTAAAAACGCAAAGCTCCAAAACTTTGCCCTAAAATATATATTTCAAATTATTTTATCCTATTCAAAATAATTTCCTCCTTTGTTTTTTTTTATTTTTAAGAAATGGGAACCAACATTTTCAATGCCAAATAAATGTAATGATTTTTATCAACGTCTTATTGAACAAAAAGTATGCCTTTCAGAATTTCATTCACAAAATCTACATTCATTCAATGTTCAAGTGAAAGTAATTCATAATAACGATCATCAGCATCATAATTCACAAACAACTAGTTTCGATTTTAAAAAAGAAGTCAAACTACGTTATACATTAGATAATTGGCGAACATTCACTGAATGTCCATCATTGATTTGTTTAAATCAATTGACACCAATGACACTGCCATGCCAAAATGATCAATGTATAGAAACTTATGAATCGGAAGTGATTCTCACCTTAACTCCATATGAATCAAAATATAATCAATTAGAATTTGCTGTAGTTTATAGAGGTGATCATTTTGAGTATTGGGATAATAATCATTCACAAAATTATAAATGTTTTGCAAGTTCTTTCTAATAAATAATTAAAATAATTAATTAGTTCGCATTGATTATTGTAATTATTATACGGTTTCTTGTCTTTCGGTGTATTAAATTGTTTTCGTTTTCCAATTTGAAAAATTGATCATTGAACCAAAAGTGTATTTTAGTTTGTTGTTTATTTTTACAAAAAATTCTTTTTTTTATACTTATATTCATTAATCAAAATGTGAAAAAAAACTGCACAGTTAGTACATAATATTTTATCAGCGTTTTTTTTAAAAAAACAATAATAATTAGTAATTTGTTTGAATGAATATCAGAGTGTCCTTGAAATATTGGATATTGAACAGCTTGTCATCGTTTAAATGTACGAATTTGTAATTTTAAACAAAAAAACTTACTGCTTAAACATGAATTTCAAAACTATGTTTTAGATTATTTTGTAGAAAAAAAATCAACGATTGAAATATATCAGTCTATTTTTTTAAAAATTATATTTTCTATTTAAAACCTATTAAAGTTGTTTAATGGAATAGGATAATAGATTTGCAGTTGGCATTAGGTTTTACAATGAGCAGCATTTTGTCTACTATATATGGGACTTGTAGTGAGTTTTTGATGTCGGGATCTTCAGATGTAGTTAACCGAGGAGTTGTGATTGACTATGATCACCATTACAGGTTCATTATGTTGCCGTCACTAAGTATAATATCTGTGTGAATCAAAGACAGTGAAGAAGAGTTAATCCATACAAGAGAGTATATATTTGTTGGTGATTCCGTGGTATCGAAGGGATACCGAAATCATGCCAGAAAAGTGTGGCGAAATTACAGTGAGCAACTCAAACAGAAAGTTTGTGCGTAAAGAGTAGGAATCAACAAAGAGTACAGTGAAATAACAATCACTGATACAAACGGTTGTAATAATGAATGTTTCTATTAAACTAATCGCGTTCTCTTCATAAAAGTGGGCTTACTACAGACTTGTCAATTAATGATATTGAAATTGTTTTAATGAATATGTCAGTTGGTCAAATTTGCATTTAAATAATGTAAAATGTTGTACTGACTTTGTAATGAACAAAGATTTCAAGACCAGAGAAGAGAAGACATAGTGTGGTGGCCGGTGTCTCACTAGTTTCGTCGCTGTCTTAGACTTCGTATACTGCTCATCTTGATAACCGTTACAAGATAACGCGCAACAGTGTATATATCAGAACACGGATACGAAACGTTGATCATACTGATAATCGCACCACACACACATCACATAACTACAGAAATGCGAAGCGAAAGTGATATGTGAGTGCCAGAGGGCAAGCACGTGTGTCCAGTCATACCTGCTCATATAATCCTGAGAATACTAAAAGCTAATGGTACAGATAATTTGTTGCTATACAAGCGACTCTATCTGTTAAATAAGTTAATAAAAATGCTTAACCAAATTAAAAGTAAAAACCAACTCAATTGCGTGTGGAGTTATCATGATAGTTTAAGATACTTCAGACATCCATTTGAGGAACAAGCAGATTGTTGATTAGCTTCTTTGATCGCATGATGCATTCCGACAGGACACTTTTCTGTCCGCTAACAAATGATGTGTGACAGTCTTCTGAATACCACTTACAAACCATGTCACTATAAAGATCCACCATAACAATTATTAAAAACAAATACTAAATGGAAGAAAATCTTCGGAAAATTCAAGTCTTTAAGTTAGAAAAAATGTGAAAACAAATACATAATTAAGAAATCTGGGTAGAAACAGTTTTCATAGAAACCAGAATAATAATAATAATAACAATAATGGTGAGATAAAACAAACTTGAACTACTTTTTTCATTACGGAGTTGTGAAGATTGCTAAGTTAAACATTTGAAATCATGAATCGATCAAAGTTATACCAGCATTAGAAACCTGGAAGCACTGAACGGTTGTTTCGTCCTGTTATGGGACTCATCAGCAGTGAAAAATGAAAGAGAAGGTCTAACAATGATGATTGATTAATGATTTCAAATGTGTAGAAAGAGAAGGAGACAAAATACGATAGAAAAGCAGAGAAGATAACTCGCAAATGGTTACTGCACCCATAAAATCAATTTTCAACTTAAGAATAAATCCAAAACAACAGCCGAGGTGATGGAAAACTTTTGATGATATTATATCGAACAAATGAAATATGTTTAGCAATGTAACCGAGGACTTACGTTTCTTCTCATTTAGAACTTGTTAATTGAAAAGATTGGAACTGATTCAAAATATTAACAATGGGAAAATCCAAACAACTACGAATTAAACTGTTAATTTCAATGTCATTTATACATATCTATGAAATATTTGTAGTGTGCATACTAATATGTGTCGACCTATTCATTTGTATTTTGACCTTGGCAGTTAATTGCTTCAGATATTGGTTGTTTTTACTTGAGCGAGTATGTACATTGCTTGCTTCATTGAACACATGTCTTGTTTGTTTTTGTCTGACTACAAATACTTAGTCATGTTTCATCACATTGAGTCGGTTGACTAACCTTTTCCATTTCGATTCGCTTTAAATTCTCATGTTTGTCTTTGTGAACGATTGCCTGAAATAAAATCATCTAACTGAATCCGTACCTGACTTCTTATCAGTGCCGTCACAAAAAAGAACCTCGCCTAAGTATGATATAGGGAAATCGAAGGAAAGATCTACTTCACAGTACATTCTAGTGTTTGTCCAAAATGGAGTCAGATCGTGGGCTACAAAATAGTATTTGTTAATCCGAGAACATAGAAAAGTGAGGCAGTAATTATTTAGTATTAAATAACTCATAACATTTTAAAAAGTTCATGTTAGTCAAGCGAATTGTGCCAGGGAAAATCAGAGATGAATAGAAAACTAAAATAATAATAAATTATTTTTTACGTAACGAAGATTTCATTGCAATTTCATTACACAATCGTATTCATAGTAACTATCAGCATAACAACAACAACAACCAGAGATTTCAATCAAAATTGGCAATCTCATCAAACTAGGGATAAATGGATAACGTTCTGTTTATTTGATGTCAAGTTTACTGATTCATCTTAGTCATGTTTACTGTAAACAATTCACAAGCTTTACAATTTCGCTTCAAATTTTTTAAAGTTAAATATTAACTACTTACAAGTAGTATACAACTTTAAGGATAAAAAACGAGAGTTAGCCTGAAAGATAAGAAAATAAGAAAGGCTTTAGTAGTAATTGAGAAAAGTGTCAAAATACCAGAAGCATAATTCTTACTTTTTTGAGTGAAATAATTTATGGAAGGGCAGGTGAATGTATCTTCTCTTGAGATATTAACACCTTTGAATACTGGCTGAGTGATCAAGAAGTTAAGCATTCATGCGTGAGACCGAAAGCCTTGGGTTGCTTTCTCGAATACAGGAGTTGTAGATGTGTAGTGCAGATAAATCCCATACTAGGACGTAACGGCTGTTCTATACTTACGTGTTTCTTTTGGCGGTTTTACAATGATCGATTCATGATTTCAGTTGAACAATTACCTCTCATATCTCTGTTTGATACACTACCCTCATTTTAGTATCTACTTTTTTTATTTAATCTCTTGATTACTAAACAATCATTTTTATAATACCTAAAAATCTCTAAACACTCATGATGAAACCTTTTTCTTTTTTATATTAGATTAATATATGTATTACTCCTAATATAGCATAGGCAGTCGATTAGCATTCTCTAACCTACTCTTTCCAGTTCTGTCAAATTTTTGTTCATTTTTCTCATGTCTGTCTCCATTTCTCGGCCTACTGTGTCCCTTATCCTTCCTCTTTTCCCTTAACATTAAGGAATCCATGTGAGGGCTTGTCTTGTGACATAGCTGCTCTCCGAAATGCGTGTTCTATCCACTTCCACTGCTTCGTTTTGACTTCCTCCTCCTCTGGAATCTGGTTGTAGGTTTTTGGTGATGGTGTCTGGCCAATGAATCCGAAGTATCTTGTGTAGACAACTGTTAATGAACAATTGTATCTTCTGAATGATGGCTTTGGTAGTTCTCCAAGTTTCATCTCTACACAGTAGAACTGTCTTGATATTGGTATTGAAAATTAAGGATTATTATAGGAAATATTATTATTTACGTATTTATCATATAACTAGCAGACGGTTATAAAGTTTTATTTTTATATTCTTCTATTTTTAAGTTTTCTCTTAATCTATAAATCGTTATCCCAGTCTAGTATTTAAGAATCATGATTACTGAATAATTTCCATATTACTTCGGTTTTTGAATCACTAATGTTTAAGTTATGCAGTTCTTCTAACTTTTATTCTGCTTAGCCAGAACTTTTCAAGTACATCATTTTATAAATTCTTAGTCACGAATGAATCCAGTACAATAGAGAACTAATCTGCTTTCGGTCTTTATCTTCGAAGGATCATCACTAACCAGTTGACCATCATTCTCTAGCTAACTGTGTCCTAAGCTTACCTGAAATGATGGAGAGAATTTGTAGCTCAGGTGGATGATTGTGATGGCATTTCGTGCTCTGAGCTGGATGTTTTAGTTGTGGAGTCTTTCATTGTTCTTCTGCTGAACAACAACATTAGCACAAACTTCAGATAGATAGAAGTGAAGCATTCTAATTTCTCAACGTGTGACCAGTAGCTTGTTCTGTTAACCTCAGTCAACAATAACCAATCAAGACCATTCCATTGTCTCTAATGAATAAATATCTGACACTTGACAGTGAAATCATATTTTCTGGTTATGGTATTTTTAGCAGTTTAAATTTCTATGAGATAGGGTCGCCAACATCTTACCCAGCCCTCCTCCTTGGGACTGGCATGAGCTCCAGAGGAGCTCCAGCAAAGGAATAAATCAGGAATAAGCTCTGGAAGTAGATGCGACACACATTGCCGAAAGTGAAGGCCTCATTCGGAACCCTCAAAATAAAAGGAAAAAAGGAAGGCCAAAGAACACATTAGGCCAAGAATTAGAGAAAGACATGAGAACAGTGAACAAAAATTGAACAGAACTATGCTATGCCTATG